ACGAGAAGGATGCGTAGCGGGCGGGAAGGGTGAGGACACTCCTCCTCTGGGCACCTTGATCCTCCTTCTCTTCCTCCTCTCTTCCTCCTCCTCCTCCTCCTCCGCCCCCTCCTCCTCCTCCTCTTCCTCCTCCTCCTCCCCCTCCTCCTCCTCATCTTCCCTGTCTTTCGCAACCGCTGAACGCGTCACCCACGTCGCCGCGGCGCGCCTAGCAGGCACGCGCGAGCGCGCGCCCTTGGGCTTCGGCGTGGGACATACCCGTTCCGAAGACGGGGGAGGAGGGGGGGAGGAGTGCCGCCAACACTCACATAATCCTCCTGAGGCCTCCGAGGAAAGTGGAGGGGTAGAGTTGCGGGGCCACTCACCCGCAGGAGCGGTGCATGCCGTTGTGGCTGTACCTTGCCAGTGGCGCCGTACACGGAGTGCCTTGTCGATAATGTTGCACATTATGGCGATAATGATGCCTACAGCGCTAGTGGAGTAAACGTGGTCTCCCGTGTGCAACGATGTACTAGTTTATTGTTGGCCGTAAGGCTGGACTAGGGCGTACTCTTCTCTGGCTTAATGCAGGTTGGTCTCGCCTCCGTGCGTCGAGTGCATGCACTCTGCCGTTGCTGGTCCTTCATTTCGCTCTTGTCGACGTAGGCGTCGAACACAATTTCATGCTATACCCACGCGTTCTCTACGAAACCGTAGCTGCCACGGCGGTTGACACATTACGCGCCCTGGTAGCACTGTCTGTGGCCCTGGTAGGAGTTTTGGTGGATCTCGTAGCTCTGCTTGCGGCCTCCGTAGCGCAGCATCAGCTGGTGGTTCTCGCACCTCACGAGGCGGTCCTCGCTGTTCAGCTGGTAGCCCTCGTAGCTGAGGTGGAGGTTCTCGTAGGTCGGCCAGTGGCCCTGGTAGCCCTTCTGGTGCTCGTAGCTGAGGGGGCGGCCATGGTAGCTCCTCAGGTAGCTCTCGTAGCTCAGCTGGTGCCCCTGGTAGCTCAGCTGGTGGTCCTCGTAGTTGTGTTTATAGATCTCGGGACTCAGCTGGTGGCCCTCGTGGCACAGTTTGTGGCTCGCGTGGCTCGCGTACGTCGCTTGCTCGTGGTGCGCGTACACAGCACAGTTTGTGGCTCTTGCAGCGCTGCTGGTGTCCCTCGTCGTTCAGCGAGTTGGCCTCGTAGCTCTGTCCGTGGCCTTCGTAGGTGTGCCTGTGGTCCTCATGGGTCCGCCTGGGGCCCTCGAGGATCCGCGGGTGGCCCTGGTAAGCTCCGCGGGTGGCCGCAGCAGCTCTGCGTGTGCTGCCCCCGGAGCTCAGGCTGTGGCCCTCGTAGCTTTTCGGGTGGACCTGGTGCTCCTCCTCCTCCTCTCCTCCTCCTCCTTCTCCTCCTCCTCCCTCCTCCTCCTCCTCTTTCTCCTCTTCCTCCTCCTCCTCCTCCTCCTCCTCCTCCTCCTCCTCCTCCTCCTCCTCCTCCTCCTCCTCCTCCTCCTCTGCCGGTGGCTCTCGAGGCTCTGGCTCGTGGCCCTCGTAGTTCGGCTGGCAGCCCTCGTGGATCGGCTGTTGGACCTCGTAGCCCCGCCTGTGGCTCTCATGGCTCAGCTCGCGGTCCTCGTCGCAGCACGGTTTGTAGCTTTTGCAGCGCTGCTGGTGTCTCTCGTAGCTGAGCAGGTGTGCCTTGGAGAGCTCTTCTGGTGGCCCTCGTAGCTGTGCCTGTGGTCCTCGTGGTTCAGCTTGCTGTCCTCGCCGTGTTGGTCGTACTCGTCGTGCTCGTGGTTGTTGCCAGTGCCGTACGGGAAGGCGTACAGGTCTCGGGCTGGTATCTCTATGGCGATGTACTTGACCTCTGGCGCAGGATGCGTTGAAGCTGTAGTCAGGGCCCCCTGTCTTCTGCCACTGGGTGCCTGAGCGTAGGGCTCCATTACAGTGCAGTCCGCCGTCAAAGGGTCGTCCTACCTGGCGCACCTGTTGCTAGACTTGCCAGACCACGCCCACGCCTCGCATGCACTGCGACACCGTTGACGGGCGAGACGGCGTGCAGTTGTGGTCCCATCGAATTCTGTTACGTAGGCTCGTATGTTGTGGATATAGGGCCGCCCTGACGTCGGACAGCCCCCTGATGCCATGGCAGCGCCCCCTGACCGCCGCCGCGGTTGGGGGCTGGGGCCGGCCCGCTAGGCACGCGGGCGCACGCGGGCGAGTGCGGGGGATGGATCCTCCTCCTCCTCCTCCTCCTCCTCCTCCTCCTCCTCCTCCTCCTCCTCCTCCCGCTCTCTCTCTCCTGCTCCTCCTTACCCTTCCTTCCCCACGGCTCGCTGGCTGCCCCTCCACCTGGCAGCCCTCCGAGAGCCCCCCGGCGGCCCCCGCGACGCCTCCGAGGCCCTCCGACGACCTCGAGCGCGGCGCGGCTGCCTCGAGCCGCCGGAGCTCCCCGGGGCCAGCCTTCCTCGCGCAGCGGGGGCCCAGGGGCCCGCCTTCCTCGCGCCTCCTCCTCCTCCTCCTCCTCCTCCTCCTCCTCCTCCGGACTTCTCGCGGCCCGCCCTCCCCGCGCCGCGGGGACCCCCGGGGGCCCCCGACGCGGCCGCCGCCTCGGCTCCGAGCCCCGCGCCCCCCAGGGGGGAGCGGACGGGAGGGGGCGGTCGGGAGGGAGAGACGCGCGCCTCGGCCGCGGCCGCCTCGGCTCGAGCCCTGCGCCAGGAGGAGGAGGAGGAGGAGGAGGAGGAGGAGGAGGAGAGGAGGAGGAGGAGGAGGAGGAGAGGAGGAAGGAGGAGGAGGAGGAGGAGGCGGAGGAGGAGGAGGAGGAGGAGGAGGAGGGAGGAGTGAGGAGGGAGGAGGCAGGTGGGAGGAGGGAGGGGCATGGAGGAGGGAGGAGGGAGGCGGCAGGAGGGAAGAGGGAGGTGGGAGGTGGGAGCAGGGAGGAGGGAGGAGGGTGGAGGAGGGGAAAGGGAGGAGGCAGGAGGGAGGCAGGGAAGGAGGTTGGAGGGAGGGAGAAGGAGAAGTCTTGTCCAACGATGCGGGCTGGCGGTTCCGGCCGCCCTCCCCATGCGAGGGAGGGGGGGGGCGGGACCGTCACCCGTGGCAAGTTCAGCAATGCGCAGACGGGGGCAGGGGGGAGGGGGGAAGGCTTCTCAGAAGCACCCTGCCTTTGAGAAGGCGCGGGTGCCCCTTCTAAGAAGCTTGCTCTAGCTTCTTAGAGGCTGCTCCTGGCGTGCTTATCGGAAGCAGGTGGCTTGCTTCTGAGAAGCTGCTTTCGCTCCTGAGAGGCACTTACGTGCTTCCAGGAAGCTGCTGGGGTGCTTCTAAGAAGCGGCGCGCCCATGGCTTCTCAGAGGGGCGGCCAGCGCCTTCTCACAGGCAGCCGCCTTCTAAGGAGCCTTTCCCGCCTCCCTCTACCCCCCTGTGCGCGCCGCGGGTAATTACTGCCCCGGGTGGCGCCAAGAGCAGGTAGGTGACGCTGGCTCAGAACAACCGCCCGAATCTCCGCCCCGACGGACACAGAACTCTTCGACGCCAGTCGGGAGAAACTGCATCATAATGCAAGACGCAGCGGACTGATACGGATTCCGCAATGGTGCGACGGTGGTGGTGGTGGTGGTGGTGGTGGTGGTGGTGGTGGTGGTGGCAGCGGTGGTGGTGGTGGTAGCGGTGGTGGTGGTGGTGGTGGTGGTGGTGGTGGTGGTGGTGGTGGTGGTGGTGTATGTTTGCATCTTGAACAGGCCTCCCGCTTCACGTTTGGGTGCGCGCATGATTCACACATCCTTTGGTGTGCGGCGCGCCCTGGGGAAATAAATCCTCTGGTGCGCTTGCTCCAGTGACCTCGCGCATTGCTCGGTTATGGTTGCCTCGCCTGCAACGGCCAGGCCACATAAGCGCATGGACGCCACCGCCGGTTCATCGACAGGGGCGGGCAGCCCAGCTCGCACCTCCCCCGGGGTGCCTCGTGGAGGCAGTGTGACGGTGCAGTGAGGCGTGCTGGCCACGGCCATCGCGCGAAGTGTCATAAGCAAGTGCGTCGGGGGAGGAAGAGGGGAATGGAGGGGGGAGGACGGGAATAGAGGTTGACGGGAGCAGAGGTGATTTGTTTATGTAGGTTTGCCGCGCCTGCAACGGCTGTGACTGACTCGGGGCCACCCAAGTAGGCCCGAGGAGGAGGAGGCGGAGGCGGAGGCGGAGGCGGAGGAGGAGGAGGAGGAGGAGGAGGAGGAGGAGGAGGAGGAGGAGGAGGATGAGGAGGTTCTTTGTTGACGTGGGCTTGCCGCGCCTGCAGCGGCTATGACCGACTCGGGGCCACCTAGGCAGGCCAGATGCGCGCTGGTTTCACGGGCTCCAGCGCCTGTTCGTAGACAGGGAGGGGCAGCCTGGCTCGCACCTCCCCAGAGTGCCTCGTGGAGGCACGGTGGCGGTGCAGTGAGGCGTGCTGGCCGCAGCCATCGCGCGAAGAGTCATAAGCAAGCGCGAGGGAGGAGAAAGGGGGGAACGGAAGGGGCGAGGACGGGAGCAGAGGTGATTTGTTTATGTAGGTTTGCCGCGCCTGCAACGGCTGTGACTGACTCGGGGCCTCCCAAGTAGGCCTGAGGAGGAGGAGGCGCATGAGGAGGAGTTGGATGAGGTGGAGGCGGAAGAGGAAGAGGAGGATGAAGCGGAGGCGGAGAATGAGGAGGAGGAGGAAAAGGAGGCGGAGGAGGACGATGATGATGATGATGATGATGATGATGATGATGATGATGATGATGATGATGATGATGATGATGATGATGCTGATGATGATGCTGATGATGATGATGCTGATGATGCTGATGATGATGATGATGATGATGATGATGATGATGATGATGATGATGATCAGGAGGAGGAGAAGGAGGAGGAGGATGATGCTGATGATGATGATGATGAGGAGGAGGAGGAAAAGGAGGCGGAGGAGGATGAGGATGAGGAGGATAATCAGAAGGAGGACGAGGACGAGAAGGAGGAGGAGCAGGAGGCGGAAGAGGAAGAGGAGGAGGATCATGAGGCGGAGGAGGAGGAGGAGGAGAGGGAGGAGGAGGAGGAGGAGGAGGAAGAAGCCTGCCGTTGCGCGACAATGGTGCAGGGGCCCGCCGCGCGCCTTGCGCTCGCGGCGGCGCAGGTGGAGCAGGACGGCCGTCTGGAGCTCTCCGGCGCGGAGGGGGATCTCCAGGCTGCCCAAGCGCCGGTGACCGCTGTGGGTGTGGTTACGCTGGGGTGCAGTCTGCGATGGGGACGCACTTCGCGCCACCTCGGGCGCTCGTCGCACTTGCGGTGGGGGCGTTCGCTAAGGCATGCGTCCAGGGGGCTGCAGACCCTGGGGGGGGGTCCTTCTCTGACGAGGTCGGCAGTGGTAGCCATGCCCAGTCCACGGTGGGTGTTCCAGCAGCTCCCAGGCCCTGGACTCCATCTCCAATGCTTCCTTATGCACTGCCCTCACCGTATGCTGGGCTTCCAATGTGAGGGTCCTCGTCGCCGCCGCTGGAGCCGTCTCGAGAAGCTGGTCGGTGTGGACAGCGGGAGGGGTCCAGGGACCGACTTGAAGCGGACGTGGGCTGGGCGGGAGGTCAGGAGGGGGGTCGATGGCCAGGGGGGGTGGACATCGTGGCGTGGGCCACGAGGTCTCCTCGGATTTTCCGTGGCGCCCCTTCTGGCGCTGCACTGCGTTCCCAGCCCCCCCCCCCCTGGGCCGCGCGGGGCGCCGGTCATGATCTGCACCCCGCCCCGCCCCTCTCTCTTTTGGCCGCCCCCGACCCAGACCCCGACGTCATGATTTTTTCATGACGTCGACCCCCAGAGATCTCGACCCATTCCCTATGACCGGCTTTGCATCCTGAGTCGTTTTTTGACGCTCCCGAGGCCCGGTGAGGGCCACTGGAGGCCGAAAGGTAAGGAAAACCGCCCGTCGTGATTTTTTCATTACTCGAGGGGGTCTGGGTCTTTTGGCCGCCCCCGAGTGTGGCCCCGGCGGGAGGCCCCCCCCCCCCGGGCGGGTCACGAAGAGAAGCGCGGCGGGAGGCTTCTCGTTCTCGTGTCGGCCTCGGGGGGCCCTCGCCCCGGGGCCGCGGGGCCGTGAAGAGCTCAGGAGGGAAAACACCACACAGTCACAGTGAATCGTCGATTCGCCAGAGAATATGGGGAAGTATGGGAAGTGAGGGGAAGGTAGCAACCCAGGAGATATGGGGAAACATGGGGAATCCTTTCCTTTGGTGTGTGTGTGTGTCTTTGTGTGTCCCAGAGCCCCTTCAGAAGAACGGCTCAGGGTGAGGCAGCGGTCCCAGGGAAGGAGTCGAGATCTCTGGGGGTCGACGTCATGAGAAGTCACGTGGTCGGGGGTCCGGGGAGCCGGGGTGTGGTTGCGCCAGGGTGTGGTTTGCGATCTGCGACGCCGGGGCTCGCGGGCACCGCGCTGTGCCAGAGGCCTGCCAGGGCTCAGCGGAGAACTCTGTCGAGGTACTCGCCCGCCCCCCCCCAGTGAAGGCTGCACCCTCTGCAAACCACACCCCTCGGAGCCGCCGCAAGTGGTGCTGGAGCAGATTTGGCGGGAGGATGGCGCTGCATCGCCTATGCATCTGCGATGCGGCGCGATGTGTGGCCTTGTTTTCTTTCTCGATCCCGACGTCGCCGACGCATCGCCGATGCATCGCCGAAGCGGTGCGACCCCCGACCCTCTTTTTGATCCGTTCCCTCCGGATGGCCTCCTGGAGCGACGCGCGAGGATGGCCGCAGCCGCCTCGAAGTCCTGGCCAGAACGCGCCCCTGGACAGGTTCAGGGCAGGTCTCCGGGGCTGCAGGGAGAGTCCAGACCTCCTCAGGCGACATGACATGACCTCCTCAGCCGTCCACCCTCGCCCCATCCTCTCTTCTCACGTCCCCCCTGTCTTTTGCTCCCCTCTGCACCCGCCCCTTCCCCGCCCCCCAACTCCTCGCCCCCCTCCCTCTCTTCTCCAGCCTCTCCTCTTGCTCCTTGCCTCCTACCTCCCCGTCGCCCCCTCTCCTTTCCCTCCCTCCTCCTCCATCGCTCTTCCCAAAAATCACTCCTCCCTGTCGCACCCCCAGGAGCTTCGGCAGGGCGGGCCGGGCGCTTCACCTGAGACCTCATCACTAATCATGATATCCCGGGGAGTGAACATCTGCAACAGTTTCACGGATGGAGAAGGGGGGGTCTACCCTGACCTTCCAGAGAGCTATTTTTTAGCACTGGAGGCCTAAAAACCTAAACCACTAAACGAAACCGCCTAAAACCAAGACGTAGAATAGCTCTGGGATAGGTTTTTAGGTCGGGTGCTATGTTTTAGCCCTCCTGGAAGGTCAGGGAATGTGGCTCTCGCTTCAGTGCCGCGCGCAGTCGTCCTCAAAGGTTGCAGCAGTGTCGCGGGTGGCACGCCTCAGGCCAGCAGCGGCCTCTCGGGCGGCAGACCACCGGAGAGCCCGGAGGCACGTGCAGCGCCCCCGAGTGGCTTCCTGGTCTGTGGAGCCCCACGGTCCTCTGCCGATGCTCCTGTCCTCTCGCAGTCCTTTCTTCCTGCCCCTGCCCCCTCGTTCGCCTCCACTCCTCTCTTCCCCCTCCTCTTTACACGGCGACAGCAGCCACATCGCGTCAGGGTGATCCTCTTCCTCCTCCTCCTCCTCCTCCTCCTCCTCCTCCTCCTCCTCCTCCTCCTCTTCCTCCCCTTCTCCCTTCTCCCCGACCCTCTTCCCCTTCCTTTCCCTATCCCATCCCTCTCTCCCTGCCGTTCGCTTCCCCTCTGCCAGCCCCATCCGCATTTTTCTGCTTCTCCTCTCTCACCTCCTCTGTGCCAGAGGGTACCTTGTTTGGCCCGCCAGGAGAGGAGCCGGACGCCAGCAGTCACCACGTTGTCCATCCACGGCGGCTCGCCGAAGGACACACTGACGCTGCCCGTGGAAACCCGGACCACAGTGTGGGACATCAAATTGATGCTAGCGTTCAAGACCAATCGCAGTCCCGAGGACATGACGTTCGTTGTGAAGCAGGGCTGCAGCTGGAGGGTTCAGTACGACCACGAGGAGGTGGGGCGGAAGGTCGTCGTCAAAGGCATCCGCAGTTTCCAGCGGGAGAGGTTCCAGTGGCACGCGCCCATCGCAGTCATCGGCTCGGGGCACGCGGGTCTCCGGCAGGCGCTGTTCTTCCTGAAGCACAACGAGCACAACTTTGTGGTCTACGACCGGAAGGCGAAGGTGGGGGGCATGGCGTGGCAGGACTCGGCGAACGATTCCTCGAAGCTGCAGACGGAGATGGGCTGCTACCACCTGCAGTACGACGAGGACAATCCCGTGCCCACCGACCTGCCGACGTGGCCCTCGCGGGCGCAGCTGCTGAGGCACTTCGAGCAGGTTGCAGAGGAATACGGAGTCATGAAGTACTGTAGGATGTGCACGAATGTCAAGGAGATCATCATCGAAAACACCGCAGGCAGCCACCCATCTGCCAAGTCGCAGGCGTGGACGGCGCAGACGTACAGACTCGTGTTGGAACCTACAGATGGCTCCGGCGATGGAAGAGGGGATCACATCGGTGCCACCGGTGAAGCTTGTTATTCAAGACGCTTCGCGTCCACCGTTTGTCCGTACTAGTTGGCACTGGAAGGGCTGAAGATGGCTCTAAGACGGGATGCCGACATGCCGAAAGTATTCGCAGACGGTCCCGCAGTTGTGCTTTGTACCATTTCCTACATTCCGTTCTCTTCGGCTTTACGATTTGATCGCCGGTTGGACTCAGGCTTGCCGTTTGGCTGATCAGTGGTCTGCCAGCATCATGACTAACGGATCTGCGATAGGAACGGTGGCTCTTCGGAGCCTTGTCCTTTGCCCACAGCAAAACGGAAGAAGTACCAAAGCAAAACCCCAAACTTCGGAGGTTTTGAGGTTGGCACCGGCACCAATACGTATTGGCGGTGTGCCTCCACCGAGGGAAGATGATCCCCTATCTCGGTGATGGTGGTACTAGTCGGGCTTCCTGGGTGTCCGAACTATTATGCCGCCAACACTAAATCTACGACCATCCTGCCCTGGTTGGGGCAGCCCCTTGTTTTGCTGATGGTGCTCGCCTCCAAGCCTCCGGACATGGCCCGAAGAGACGGCCCAGAAGACGCCAGCGCGGGCTGAAGAGGGCAGCGGGCTGAAGAGGGCCAGGCGGAGGCGGAGAAGGCAGAGGAAGAGGAGGAGGAGGAGGAGGAGGAGGAGGAGGAGGAGGAGGAGGAGGAGGGCAGAGGAAGAGGAGGAGGAGGAGGAGGAGGAGGAGGAGGAGGGAGGAGGAGGAGGAAGAAAAGGAGGAGGAGGAGGCAGAGGAGGGAGGAGGGAGGAGGAGGAGGAGGAGGAGGGTGGAGCAGGAGGAGGAGAAGCAGGATGAGGAGGAGGAGGAGGAGGAGGAGGAGGAGGTGGAGGAGGAGGAGGAGGAGGATGATGATGATGATGAGGAGGAGGAGGAGGAGGAGGAAGGAGGCAGAGGAGGAGGAAGATCAGGAGGAGGAGGAGGAAGAGGAGGAGGAGGAGGAGGAGGAGGAGGAGGAGGAGGAGCGAAAAAGGGCCACAGCTGAGGCCGAGGTCGCCTGGGCGGCTCTGGACGCCTCAACCGTGCGAGCACCTCCCCGCCTCATGGCAGGCCCGCGCCCTGGCTAGAGGCGCGTCGGTGTCGGCCTGGACCCAGCGGGGCCTCCAGCCTCATGTCGGGCGTGTCCCCCTACAGGGGGGATTTTCGACGAAAAATAAAGAATACCCCCAAAATAGCCAAAAAATAATCCAAAAATAGTCTGGGGACTATGGTTTTAGTTTTTTTTTTTTTTTTTACCTTTTTGGAGTATTCTTGGGGCATTTTTTATTTTTGGTCGAAAATCCCCACGCCCGACATAACTCCAGCCTCGAGTCCAAGTGTTGCCCCAAGATGGATGCAGAGAGTTCCAATGCGGGCCCAGAATCGGAGAAGAAGCATCGCCATGAGCATGAGCATCAAACACCGAGGCAGATAGGAGCGAAGAAGACAAAACGCCATAAACATTTTCCTTTGGCGCTCCGCGCGGATTTCTTGGATCCACGCTGGCCCCCTCCCCCCTCCGGCGCCGCCTCCGGCGCCGCCCCCGGCGCGCTCCGCGCGCCAGGGAGGGGAGGGTGGGGGGGGGGGGTCCAGCGCGGATCCAGGAGATCCACGCGCGGGGCGCCAACAGGTTAGGTTTTTATGGCGTCTTTTTCCCCTGGTCCAGTCCAGCGCAGATCCAATCCAGAGCAGATCCAGATCCTCCTCCTCCTCCTCCTCCTCCTCCTCCTCCTCCTCCTCCGCCTCGGTCTGCGGCGGTGGGGGCCATCGCAGAAGCCCGCGGGGGGAGCGGAGGCGCAGGCGCGCGGAGGCGCGCAGCCCGCGGCGGCAGGAGCGGAGGAAGGCACGCTCGGGACACGCGGGGGGTCCAAACTAGGTGCGGGGTCTATTGGAGGACATATCAGGAGGGGAAGAAACACACAGACACAATTAATCGTCGATTCCCAGGAAAATATGCGAGAATATGGGAAGTGGTGGGGAAGACAAAAACCGAGAAAATATGGGGAAATATGGGGAATATTTTTATTTGTGTGTATTTATTTGTGTGTCCCAGGGCCCCTTTAATATAGGCCGTAGATATCTAGCACAGGGCGGGGGTCGAGCCCGGGGTGGGAGGGAGGGGCCTCCGTCCCGGAGGCCACTGGGAAGCCACGGGAGTCGGGGGCGGGAAAGAGGGGGGTGGTGACTAGGGGGGGGGGTGGATATCATGGCGGGGGCCATGATATTTCCGCAGATTTCATGGCGCCTCTTCCTATTTCGTTGCGTCCCTGGCCCCCCCGCTGGGCCGCGCACGTGCCGCTGGTCAGGATTTGCACCCCCCCCCTCTTGGACACCCCCCTCTTGGCCGCTCCCGACAAACGCACGGGGGGCCAGTCATCACCCAGCGGGTTCCACTACTCGCAAAGAGTGCCTCCTCGCAAAAGTCCGAGTCCACAAAAAGCATGTCGTCCATGTGATGTACCGTGAATCCCCCGCGGCGGATCCAGGCCATCTGCAAGTTGGTATCTTTGCAAGCAGCGGAACGCGCTGTCCTGATTCGGAGCGCCACATCTGGCAGGACTTGGCGGGGCCAGGGTGGCATGGACCCAGGGCTGGGTGGACCGAAGAAGAGAACACGGCACACACGCAAGCTTTTGGCACTCCGCGCGGGTTTCTTGGATCCATTTGGGCCCCCCCCCCTGGCGGCGCCTCGTCCGGCGCGGAGCCAGGACATCCACGCGCGGAGCGCCAGAAGCTGATGTTCACAGCGCCTGCTCTTCGTCTGTGGCGGAGGATCCTGCAGGAGCCCGCCCGCGACCCTCCGCGACGCATCCGCGACCCACCCGCGACCCTTCCGCGACCCAGCCGCGACGCAGCCGCGACCCAGCCGCGACCCGCCCGCGACCCGCCCGCGACCCAACCGCGACACCCACCCAGCGCCGGCCAGCTCTCTCTCGCATATCCAAAGTTGCGCGGTGCTACGTATAAACAGCAAGTGGGTCGCGGTGCAGGTTGTACATCCTGGTATGTGGTGGGCCACATTGGGGCCTCTCGTGGCTATCTTGCTTGGGAAGTTCGTGAAGGCAATGTTCGCATAGCTTGAGCCACGTTGGATCCTGGGCAACCCTGGGATGCTCCAGGACTGTCGTACATAATACAGGAGCCATTATGAGGGCTGTGAGGGCCTGGTTGCAAATTGCGAGCCTCTGATAGTCTGGTGAGCGCCTTGGCGAGCGCGGCTAACCCCCTGGCAACCAGGGATCGGCGGATTCAGCCGACCATTGCGGAGTCATCGTGTACCCAGGGAACTTAGCAATCCCTCGCAGAGAGGTCTATGCTGGTGAAGATCTGTTTGGCTGCCCAATAGCCTATGGAATTTGGAATGATTTTGATTACAAACAGGTTGATGGTAAGGATATCTGCATCGTCGGTCATGGTGCTTTCGCTCTTGAGAATATACGTACTTGTTTGGAGTACAATGCTCGCAAAATCTATTTGGTCTGTCGCAAGAAAAATCTTGCAATGCCCAGGGTGACCTCGTGGCTCATAAATCAGTCCCAGCCACACCTGAGCACAACGCTGTGCCTGGACTCCATGAAGCCAATGTACCAGCTCGCCGCGGACCGCTCTGGAGACGCCTCGTTTGACCCTTGGGTATACCATTCTGTGCATGCGAACAAGGACCGCACTCACGTGACGATCAGTCAGAAGGCCCGCTTCGGTATTGGTGACATGTATTTTCTTGCTATCGCCATGGGGGTATGCGAGGTCGTGCTGGGCAAGATCAAGCGCCTCACCCCAGGGTGCGTGCACTTGGAAAGTGGAAGGGAGTTCCAGGCACAGGGGCTTCTGAAGCTCTTAGGTTTTTACGGCAATTTCGATATCGACCGCCTGGTGCAGATCAAGACCATGCACGGTTGGTGGGCCAACGAGGATTTCCGGCGTTGCGTGATCTCCGAGGCCACCGGCGTCGACGCCAGCAATTTCGGAGGCACCAGTTTCTCCCCTTCCCTCCGATCTTGGGTCGAGCAGGCTCGGGGACAGCAACTCCACCACCAGTGCGGTGTGCCCTCGTGCCCAGCCCCCCCCCCGCTCCCCGTCCTCCCTCCCTCCCCCCTCCTCCCTATCCTGCCAGCCTGCGCCGCTCCCTCCTCGCTCCTTCCTCCGCCCTCCCCCTCCCTCCTCCCTCCTCCCTCCTCCTTCGTCCCTCCCTCGCCCCTCCTCTCTCTTGTCCCTCCCTCCCTCCCTCCTCTCCCCTGGCCCGTGGGTGGCGGGGAGGATCTCCACAGGCCGCCGTGTTCTTCTGGTTCCCGTCCGACTGGCAGAAGGTCCTCGTCGTCATCGTCTTCGTCGCAGGATGAGACATCGTCATCGTCGTCGTCGCCCTCGGCGTCTTCGTCGTCATCGTCGTCATCGTCGTCATCGTCTTCGTCGCAAAGGGGGGTGTCGGCGGTAGATGAGGAGAGGGAGGGAGAGGAGGGGTTAGGAGAAGCTGGGCGCGCTCGCGCCATCTCTGACATCCGACCTCTCCCGCCCATCCTGTCCCGCTGCTCTGAAATCTTTCCTTTCCGGTGGCTGGGTGGTCCTCGATGACCTTCATTTCCAGGATGATCCCACCGTGTGATGCGCAATCAGGAAGGCGGGCTTTGTACATTGGACGAAAAGGACGAGGAGGGAGAGGAGGAGGAGAAGGAGCAGGAGGAGGAGGAGGAGGAGGAGGAGGAGGAGGAGCAGGAGGATAAGCAGTAGTCGGAGGAGGCGGAGGAGGAGGAGGAGGAGGAGGAAGAGGAGGAGGTGGAGGAGGTCGCGGATGAGGAGGAGAAGGAGCAGGAGGAAGAATAGCATGATGAGGAAGGATGATGAGTTGGCGCAGCAGCAGCAGGAGCAGGCAGACTTTGTGAGCGATTCAGGCCCGGATGATGTGTGGCCTGCGTTGGAGCGAGAGGGCAAATCTGCACGACGGGAGCCGAGCACCGATCTTGACATGCGACCAGCGCTGCAGCGGGGAGGAGGTGGAGGCGGAGGAGGACGAGGAAGGAGGAGGGAGGAAGAGGAGGGGAGGAGGATGTGGAGGGGAGGAGGAGGAGGAGGAGAGAGGAGGAGAGGAGGAGGAGTAGGAGGAGGAGGAGGAGGAGGAGGGAGGAGGAGGGATGGGAGGGTGGGAGGGAGGGAGGGAGGGTGGGAGGGGAGGGAAGGGCGGGAGGGAGGGAGGGAGGGAGGGAGGAGGGAGGGAGGGAGGGTGGGAGGGAGGGAGGAGGGATGGAGGGAGGAGAGGGAGGTAGGGAGGGAGGGAGGTGGGTGGTGAGGGAGGAGGAGGAGGAGGAGGAGGAGGGAGGAGGAGGGAGGAGGAGGGAGGAGGATGAGACGGAGGCGGAGGAGGAGGACGAGGACGAGGACGAGGAGGAGAAGGAGGAGGAGGAGGGGAGGAGGACTCTCAAGGGTTCCTGAAGCATCTGGATGGGGAAGGAGGCAGCGGGTGCGGGGCCCTTCGACGGAGGTGGCCCTCGGCGGGGCCCAGGGCCCCCTCGGGGGCCCCCCTTTGGTTCCTCGGCCGTGGCGCTGCCCGCGTGGTTCCTCGGGGTTCCTCGCGGGGGTGTCCTCGGTGCTGCTCGTGGCAGTACGAAGCGAGGCCAAGCAACGAAGCGCAGAGCAAAGCACTGCTTACTCAGACCCCCTCGAGTAATGAAAAAAACATGACGGGGGGGTTTTCAAAATTGTCGGCTTCCGGGGGCCCTCACTGGGCCTCGGGAGCGTCAAAAAACGACGCAGGATGCAAAGCCGGTCACAGGGAAAGGGTCGGGACCTCTGGGGGTCGACGTAATGAACAAATCATTACGTCGGGGGTCTGGGTACGTAGCATTGCCGAGCAATGCCAAGCAGTGCCAGGCAGTGCAGCGCACTGCACAGAAGTACTGCCAAGCAGCGCCACGCAGTTCGAAGCAGCGCCAAGCGATGCAACGCAGAGCCAAGCGCTGCACATCAGTGGTAAGCAATGCCAAGTACTGCTTTGAGTAGGTCTGGGAGTCAGAAGGCCCCTGGTCGCGCCGGGTGCATCAAAGGACCAGAAGCGGTCCGACTGAGAGAGCACAAGAGCACTTGCTTTTGGCATCTTGTGTGTGTGTGTGCGCATGCCCCCGCACAGCACCGGGAGGATGAGAGCAGTATTCATATGGTGCAGATTTCCAGGGGAGGAGCAGGAGCAGGAGGCGGACGATGATGATTCTCTGATTTCGCTCAGGGATGAGGAGCAGTGCGACGGGGGAGCCTTCCAGATTCCTGGGTGCTGCGCGGGGCTCTCCCAGCAGGTGGTCGAGTCCGGCATGCTGCCCACGCACTCGGCGGACCCGGAGGCGAACGTGCCCGCGTACGTCGTCGACGCCCGCCACGGCACCACGACCTTCGTGGTACTGGAGAGCATGATCCCCTTCTTGATGGAGAGCGGGGAGGGAAGGCCCTCCCAGACCTCCAGTGGCCTTGGCGCGCGTGTTGCCGAACACCTGGCTCCTCCTCGTCCTCCTCCTCCAGCGTTAAGTCGGGCCTGTCCCCCTACAGTGGGTTTTTCGACGAGACATAAGAGATACCCCATACATATAGTCCAAACATAGTCCAAAAGTAGTCTGGGGACTACTTTTTGACAATGTCTTGACCTTTTGGGAACATTTTTGGGGGGTATTTCCTAGTTTTCGTCGAAAGCCCCCCTGTAGGGGGACACGCTCGACTTCACTCCAGCGCTGCGCCGCGCCAGAAAGGCAGCACCCCGGAGGCTCTCCGCGGCTCCCCGGCGCCTGGGCGCGCAGCTCGCGGGCCCCGGGACCTGCGAGGGATGGGACGGGGTTCGGCCGAGGACTTGGCATCGCTCGGACGCCTCGGAGGGCGCCTCGGCCACCCCAGACCCCCTCGAGTAATGAAAAAATCATGACGGGAGGTTTTTCTGAATTTTCGGCCCCCGGGGGCCCTCACTGGGCCTCGGGAGCGTCAAAAAACGACGCAGGATGCAAAGCCGGTCACAGGGAAAGGGTCGGGACCTTTGGGGGTCGACGTAATGAAAAAATCATTACGTCGGGGGTCTGGGACCAGGGCAAATGCCGCCCCGGGCGCCAAGGCTTGCTGCGGGGTTTGCCGCGGCACCGGCTTCGTCTACTTGTGCGCGGGACGCAGGGCTTGCCGTGGGTTTGCCGTGCTGCCGGCGTCGTCCACTTACCTTGGCATCGCTCGGACGTGTGAATTTTCCCTTCGGCGAGGACCATCGAGGAGCATCCTTGATCATCTGGAGAAAAAAGATACACGCACGAAACCGAAAAAAGCACAGGGAATGGACGTCCGAGCGATGGCGAGAGGATAAAGTTGGTTCCAGAGCGCTCGGGGACACTCTCAGGGCGTTCCGGAAATCTCCGAGAAGGCCGCGGCGCCCGAGACATCCTCCCGAGCCGCCGGACCTCAGAGGCTTTTTCTCGAGTCATCTGCACCCGAGTGCATCCTCGTCCTGGCTTCGTCTTGGAAGGGAGCGGCCCCGTGGCGGGCAGGGCGCAGCAGTCCCAAGGGTGGGGTCCCAGGAGTTCCAGGGTCCACGCCGCGAGATACCGCGGCCTCGGAGGCCTGGATTGAAGTCGGGCCTGTCCCTCTACGGGAGGAATCTTCAAAAATAGTGAACAAAATAGTCAGGGGACGATTTTTTGTTTACCTGTCCATATGTTTGAATCTGTTTTTTGGTTTTCTTTGTTTTTTTGCAGAGAAGCCGCCTGTAGGGGGACATGTCCGACCTAAGCCTGGATCCTCTCCACTGCGCCCACTCTGCGCATGCACCTCTTGGCAAAGGTCCGCCACCATCCTGGAGCTTGGCTCCCGCCGGAAAAAAACATGCTAGCCTTAAGTCGGGCCTGTCCCTCTACAGGAGGAAAATTCAAAAATAGTCAAAACATAGTCTGGGGACGATTTGTTGGCTAATTTTTCATTTTTTCGTCAACAAAACCGCCTGTAGGGGGATATGCCCGACTTAATGCTATGCCCAAGAGACCCTGGGGTTGGGTGAGGGTCCTGGTCTTGGGTTTTGTATACACAAGGCCCTCCCTTGGTCGCGGCCTTTTATACAGAACGCGGCCCCAGGCGGTGGAATCTGCTTGAGGCGGGAAGGATGCGGTATAGAACAACAATCTCGAGGACGGAGGCCTTGTCCTAGGGGGACGAACAATGACATCAACATAACAACTCGGAGGTCCGCGCGGATTTCTTGGATCGGCGCTGGGGCCCCCTGGCGGCGCCTCCGGCGCCGCCCCTGGCGCGTGGAGCGCGCCAGGGAGGGGGTTCCAGCTCGGATCCAAGACATCCGCGCGGACCTCCGAGTTTTCATGTTTATGCTATTTTTCGTCCCCCGATGTCCACAGATCCTGGATCACCCGCGGGGGCGCGAAGAGAGTCACGCCTGGCGCGCTGCGGTCTGGGCCAGAGCAGCTGTGGCTCGAGGAGGAGGAGGCGGAGGAGGAGGAGAAGACAGAGGAGGAGGAGGAGGAGGAGGAGGAGGAGGAGGAGGAGGAGGAGGGGGAGGAGGAGGGGGAGCAGGGGCAGAAGGAGGAGGGGGGGGGGAAGAAGAGGAGGGGGAGGGGAGGGGGGAGGCGGCGGAGGGGGAGGAGGAGGTGGAGGAGGAAGGAGGAGGAGGATGGAGGAGGCGGAGGAGGAGGAGGAGGAGGAGGGGAGGAGGAGGGGAGGGAGGAGGAGGAGGAGGAGGAGGAGGAGTGGAGGAGGCGGCGCGATGGGCGTGGAGATATGGGCGTGGAGGCAGGTCGCGCCCTTGCACACCCGCGGGCCCAGGCGGGGCCTGCGCGGGGCCGGGCAGTGGCAGCTGGCCACGCGCAGAGGGGGGAGAGGGTGGAGGGGGGAGGGCTTCTTCGAAGCGCCCCTGCTTCCTCGAAGGTGCGGGCCCTCCCTGCAGATGTGCGGCCCGCGCCTTCTGAGAGGCGGCCTCTTCCGAAGAAGCCTTCCCCCGTCCCCCCCCCCGCCCCCCTTGCGCGCGCCGCCAGCAGGCAGCGGCAGAGCACCTTCCGCCTCCCTAGGAGGGCTGTAGCAAAGCACGGGAGCCTGGCGTGCCGTCGCAGCTCCGCCGTCCTTCGAGTGCACTGGAGTGCGCTAGCGTCCGGCGGTCGATGAGGAAGCGCCGATTCGGAGTCGGCCAGCACCGAGGAGCGTCGAGTCGGCGCCCGTTCGCGTGGGCCAGCGTCGACCCGCGAGAGCCAGCAGGACGGCACGGGAGGCTCCCGCGAGCTGCCGCCGCACCAGGAGAGCTCCTCGGTCCGCGGGCTCCTGAAACGGCGGAAGCAGCTCGAGTGCCACCCGCTGCGGACCTTTGTCGAGGAGGCCCGGGCCGAGTGGGAGCAGTACGCGGAGCAGCTCCGGGAGCGCGCGCCACTGCCGCCCCCCAGGTACCCCTACGACTGCGACAGCGTGCAGGCGAGGCGGAGGGGGAGGGGGAGGAGGAGGCGGAGGAGGAGGAGGAGGAGGAGGAGGAGGAGGAGGAGGAGGAGGAGGGGAGGTAGGGGATGAGAGCGGAGAGGAGGATGGGTGGAGGGAGGAGGAGGAGGAGGAGGAGGAGGAGGAGGAGGAGGAGGAAGGGGGGGAGGAGGTGGAGGAGGAGGAGGGGATGGGGAGGGAAGGGAGGATGGGGAGGGGAGGGAGGATGGGGAGAGGAGGAGGGGAGGGGAGGAGGAGCGGAGGAGGAGCGGAGGAGGAGGAGGAGGAGGAGGAGGAGGAGGAGGAGGAGGAGGAGGAGGAGGAGGAGGAGGAGGCGGGGAGAGGGGCAGGCGTCCGAAGCCTGGAGTGGAGTCGGGCCTGTGCCCCTACAGTAGAGGACACTCCCAACATAGTCAGAACATTGTGTGGGGACGACGTTTCGCCCATTTTCGATTTCTGTTGAGCACTTCTCGACTATGTCCCACTGCTCTGCCCAAGTCCGCCTGTAGGAGGACATGCCCGACCTCAGCCTTGAGCCCGGGGTCAGTGCGAAAGGGGGTCAGCCAGAGCGCCGGATCTTGCAGGATCCTGCAGGGTCAGGTGTGCACTGGCCCGGGCTTTCGCGCAGGATTCTGCAGGATCCTGCGGAGCCCGACTGGCCCAGGTTTGCGCTGATTCGGGGCAGAACGTCCCCGAGCTGTGTCGGGCGTTGCGCAATGGGGGGGCACCGTCATAAACAGATCCGGG